AAAATGGGTGTAGAAACTATTTTCATTCAGAAATTGCTAGGAAATTTCACAAACAATGACACCGAAATGCAAGTAAAATATTGCAATAAACGTGATATTTTTAAGAAGAAAAACTGAAATAGTATTTTCTTGTGAAAAGAAAAAATACTCCAATAATCTTTGTTTTATTTACAACTTTGAAAAATATTTTTACAGTGCATTAATGCTAATAGCAGTAGTATTAATTAGCAATATAAACTAGCATCTTATCTTTATTCACTCTTCATATATTGTATGCTTTTAGTTGAAGATGTACTAATAAGACTTGTGTTCTCAGGTTGCATGTCAACTCTGTTACCATCATATTTTCCCTTTTAAAATAATTATTACACTTACATATCTCCACGTTATATACATAACTGGACGATCATAATGTCAAAACTGCTACCATGATTTTGTACAGTAAAAATGTGATCATTCAAAAGTAAAAGTCTTCAAAAATATCAGCCTTAAATTCTCTTTGCCTTGTATTATAATAACGTCAACTTAAAACAAAACCGTCAATCCCGTTAGAATGTTGTCATGTTAGCATGTTAAAATTTATTTTGAGTTGCCTTGAGAAGGCACAACGCTATTTATTTGTCCAACAAAACATTAGCAAAAATATCAGCATTAGATTCTCTATAAAACACCTTTAATTTTCGTGCCCTTGAACACGAGGTTTATAATGTCAAAAATCAACTCTGTTACCTTTACTTATAATTACATGTCCTTGCATTAAGCTTGAGCTGTCTTAAAGGTGCCATAGAATGCATTGATACAATATTTTAAATTGTTCTCTGATATCTACATAGAAGGTATGTGGCTTAGGTAAGGGCAAAAAATCTCCAGAAATGGTTTTACATGTCCATTTACAACCCTAGGATTTGTCCCTAGAATGAAATGGCCTGTTTTTACCTTATTTAAAAGGGTCATGAATAATAATGTTGAGCTCTGTTCTGATTGGCTGTTTCACAATGCGGCTCATTTCAGTAGCTCACAAAGCATGAAGCATGAATACCAGACAAGATATTGGAGTAAGAGGACAACAATCTAGGTACAGTGTGTCTAACCATCAGCTTTTCTTATGCTCCTCCCTCTTTCTTTGCAAACAATTGTGATTGTCTACAGCCCTGTGCTGTCCCATCATCCTTCCTCCTGTCTGTTTCTCTTTTTTTCTGTCTTGCTCTCTCTCTCTGGTGACATTTGTAGCGTGTCCTCACTGCTTGTATCCGCAGTGCTGCTCTGATCTGGGCTCACCATGAGCTCATTAGGTCAGGAGAACACAACATCACTTGCCATGCAGTTACAGCTGACATACATACACATCTACACAAACACGTGCAGAATTTATTAAAAAAAAAGAATAATAATGGCAAAACATTCACCCATTTTAAAACAGAATATCACAGCAGGCAATATGCCATATTATGAGCATGTTTAAAACACCAACACAGCGATATTAAAGGGGTCCTATTATGCTCTTTTACAAAGTCTTGATTTTGTTTTGGGGGTGTACTAGAACAGGCTCACATACTAGGTTGTTCGAAAAACACATAATTTTTCACATATTTTACATTATTACAACACCTCTCTCCCCAGTCTGGCATGAACGACTCGAACAGTTCCTGTATCAAATGAAGGCCCGCCTTCTGAAATACGAAATGTGCTGTGATTGGTTAGCTGGGCCAGTGTGTGTTGTGATTGGCAGCACTCGGCGCCTGGTCGGGAAATGTCATGCCCCTTACCATAGCCGCCTGCGAGCTTCAGTGTAAATATTTCATCAAAATCAAATCAATTTGAGCACGATTTAAACCCGGATGATTGTAACCACTCTAAGTTCGTCTGCCTTGGGAAAGCTAGCGTGTCTCCGACATAGTGATAACACTCGTTGCCTTCTCTAGTGCAGCTCATTCAGGTCTCATCTCATTCGTCGGTATTTGTGATATCGCAAATCCCGGAAAATATGCGTTGTAGTCCAAACGAGTCATTCGTTGTAATTTTTGAAAAGTGATTTCTGTTAAATAAAATATCTCCTTTTGAATTGGACTTTGAGCTTTGTAACTTTGCAGATCTTTTTTATGCTCAAGCAGCAACATTACAGACTAACTAAAGTTGAAAAAGTGAAAAAGCATAATAGGACCCCTTTAAAAAGCTTGTGGGGTAAATTCACTAAACAGTTGCACCACTTTTGCACCTGCGTCTTCCTCACTAGCCACCTGTAATCCAGTTTAACCAGGCGTTATCTGTGCTGGTTTAGCACTACATCAGGTGTATTTAAATTAACTAATTGTCATTATTTTCAGCACAAACACACCTTCTTTCTAATTAGGCTCATTATTGATGCTATCTGCCTGGTGCAATTAATGCTATTACTGCATGTGGAAAGCAGGCATTACCGTGGGAAGTAGGGGTGCTAAAGAAAAAATGGGGGTGCTGGAGGTGCGGTGTTAAAAATAAATACATTTAAATTTTGTAACAAAAAATAAATAAAACTAATTTTATTAATTTGAATATTCATTAAAATCATAAGGGGGAAAAGCTTAATGACAATAAGCAACAATTGTCGCGTGACGTCACCACGTCCGCATCCGTCATTGAAGATTTAAAAATACACCAGTCAACATGGCGCAAAAACGCATTTCTGATTTTTTTGCGAAGCACAAACAAAATAAAAAGAGACCGAGCCTTGAGCTGGCGGATCAGTCGGATAAGGAAGCAGACCTGAAGCCTATGCCTAGTGGGCAGCCAACCAGCAGCAGCAGCTGCAACAGCTCCTCCAAAGTGACCACCACATCAGCCCCGGATCTGGGCCCAGGAGCCGCGCTAATTCAAGGTAACATGAACGTTGCCGCCGCGGCAGTACCAGCACAAAATACTAGCGTTATTGATTTGGTCGAGGCAATCACTCCACACCAACCAGCCAACTTCAGTTTTCCTGGAAGGCAGTTCGGAAAAGAGACATTTTCTCGTTCATTCAATACAAACTGGTTTGACAAATGGAGGTGGCTACATTATATTGAGGAAGGTGATCGCGTTGTCTGTTTTAGCTATGTGAAAGCTGTGGAAAAACGTCTCATCTTTACAAAATTCATCTTTACACTATAGAGGTGAAACAGAAAAACACAAAAGCAGCATTTCCACATGTTTACAGACTATTTAATGAGGCTGGGAGGTGGCATGAATGCATTTAAAATCATAATAACAATGTTATGAAATCAATGTTTTAAATATAAAGTTTTGAATAAAGAAATACTAAATGATTGAAATAACTGAAATTATACTTTAAAAATGAAACTAAAACTGTCAGTAGGTGGCAGCAAATCTCTGTCTTTGTGACTGAATCATTCGTTTAATGATTCGTTCAAACAGTTGATTCGTTCAGGAACAAAGCGAGTGACTGTTTTATGAATGGGTAACTGAATAATTGACTCACTAGATTCATTAAAAAACGCAGGTTCATTCATAAACGAAACACCGCTGTGTTTGCGTGGAGATGCGCAGCGGCTCAGTTTTGAC